GGACCTGCCTTGGCCAATAATAATCAGCACGTCTCCTTACCAATAGGAATTGATCATTTAAATGGGTGATCGGTGTTCTCGAAATCGACTTGAATAATGAAAAAATATTAGATTTGTATTGATGGGGAGACGTGCTGATTAGCTTTTGACACAGGCAATACGAAAAATGGTAAATAAGTTTCGATATTTCCTCGCTGAAACAGCTACGCAGCGCGATTGCTTTGCAAAAAGTTCATATTTTCGAAAAATTTCAAAATACAAAAAATGTGTTTTTGAGTCTTTTTTGTTTTTCATTTTCAAAAAATTTAAGCTCTTTATAAAATGTAATTTTATATACGGAATGTTTCAGGTTAATTTTTCTTCAACGCTATAAGCTTGCACAAAATTCGTCATTTTAAGAGAACTCGAGAACTGAAGAATATATTTTTCTTAAACTTTCAGCTTGTTTACGGTTCTTTATATTAGTCAAATTGCCAAATTGATAACTTATTAACCAATTTGATAATTTACGTTCGGAGAGGAGAAGGAGGCAAGGCAAAATAATAAATTTAGTTATCGGTTATTTCAACCCAAATTTTGCAATCGTATTATGTTTTGTTAATTATATTTCTTGAAATAAAAAATGTTGTTGAAAAGTTGATTATATTGTATAGAATTTTTTTCTCACTATCCAAATTTTGCCGCCCCCCAAAATTTGCCGCCCTGGGCAGTAGCCCCGATTGCCCCTACTGTAAATCCAGCACTGTATATATATATATATATATATATATATTATATATATAATTAAGGTGGTCTTTAATATGGATATTTTAATATAGATTGTCCTAATGTTAATATTAAGAGATAAAACTTTTAGATATTTTTTATCAATTTGAAAGCATTTGAGCCCCTGGAAGCAAAAAAATTCGAAAATATCCATATTGAAGCCACCCTATACATATATATATATATATATATATATATATATATATATGTGTGTGTGTGTGTGTATGTGTGTGTGTGTGTGTTAAGTACGAGCAAAAGTAAGTTCGAGGGCGCGTATTGCATATGTATACGTGTATATGGATGTACTTATAATGCGCATTAATCGGCATGTTACTTTCCAATCAGAACTTGTTGACATTTTATTTAAACTATTATTAAATATTATAGCTAGCCACAGGAGATAAACCATGCTCATTTCGTTAAATATAATAAATATAAGAAGATACACAACATAGCAAATAATGTAATAATCTACACATCAAGACAAGACAAAATGATATCGAGTAGGCGAAAACGATTGAATATTGTGTGCAATTACGACTAACAATATAGAGAACAAAATAAACTAAGGCTTCTGGTTTCTGGTGTACCTGAACTTGCGAAGTCCATGTACACCCCGACTCTAGAAGACATTGAACCAGTTGTGCCCAGTCCTTGAAAAGGAAAATTAAAGATCGACGTATTAAAACCTTGTAAACATTACCAATTACCAGCTTTCATATAATCCTTTATTATAATTAATTAGAATAAAAAACATGCATCATGTTTGATTTCTTATTTCCAAAACTCTTGAGGGGCAAACTATATCATAAGGTTGAGTATAATAGTCCCATATTATATTTATTATAGCAAGAGCCTGAATGATAGACGAAATTTTTTTTTCATAAGATTTTTTCCACATTATTTTGCACAAGTACTTCAAATATACATATATAACAACCCTTATTTTCCAGAATTCCCTAATAATAACTGTAGTATGCTTAAAGATTTATATAAACTTACTTGTAAAAGATACGCTCACGCACATGTACACATATAGGTACACACCAACGAAAATACATGCGCACTTATAAATATGCTCATATACACAAAAATAGATACAAACGCATACATACAGGTATATGTATATATATATATATATATATATATATATATATATATATTAGGGTGGTCCTTAATATGGACATTTTCGAATTTCCTTGCTCCCAAGGGCTAAAATGGTTCCAAATTGATAAAAAACAATTCTCTGAAAGTTTTAGCTCTTAATATTAACTTTTAGATAGTGCGCAATTCAATCAAACTTCGTATGGAAATAGCATGGAAAAATTTTGAAAATTAAAAAAAAATTTTTAGGTATAACTTAGCGACAAGTAAATTAAAAGTGAAAATTCGTGTCATTTTTTATTGAAAATTCGACGCTCTGCAAAATTTTTGAAAATTTTTTCATGCTATTTCCATACAAAACTTTGATTAGATTGCGCTCTATCTAAAAGATAGTATTGAGAGCTAAAACTTTCAGAGAATTGTTTTTTATCAATTTGGAACCATTTGAGCCCTTGAGAGCAAGAAAATTCGAAAATGTCCATATTAAGGACCACCCTTATATATATCGGATCGAGCGGTACATCAATAAAAATTGTATAATTTTTTTCAAGTTTATTTCAAATGCCAATGTTTCGTCTAAAAACTATATAATAAAAACCAAACAACACTTTACATAAAGCATTACAAAACATATCTGTACTAACTAATATTTATGAGCACTAATATATTACCATGTTAAAACGGCTTAATAATTAAACGCTATTAAAAATGAAAGCGTTTTTAATGAATTCATTTTAATAACTAACTGAATTAATTTTAAATATGTGCAGTTAACCAAAACCTTAATACTTTCATTACTACAGTAGACGAGAACAGAAAGTAACTACAAACCATCGTAAAATATTGTAAATTTGTCACTATTGGAATTTTAAATTTTTTAATTTATGCTTACAACAATCACCGTAACAGTGCAGTATTTGGTGCTAAACGGATCCATGTAAATGATGGGGTTAGGGAAAGATCGATAAAATTAGATAATAAAAATCGAAAAAAAAATAATTAATAAGCATTTCAAATAGCAATCAAAATAATATCGATGCAATTATATGTAAAAGAATGTACTTAAAAAACCAATAAAACTCTAGTTCAATCAGATTTTTGTCAAAAGGGCATTTAATGCAATTTGCGTTTTTTCTGCGTTTTTTTACAAATTGTTGATAAGTCAAAAATGCATCTATAGCACGCAGTCTTGCGTTTGAACTCTCGTCAATTTTTTTATCATTTTCAACAAATTGGTTCATACAGTCATAGTGATCGCAAATACATTCACAAACACCATTAAAAGTTAATTTTTACCGTTCTTTGAAATCATCAATATCTATCATTATTTGTCTCCTGCGGTTTGTTTTGCTAATTGAAGCATTCCTGGACAGAAAAAGAGCGTTAATCGAAATAGCGCTAAGTGAAGTGTTAAGCGGGGTATTATTGTATTTCAGATATATAAAATTTCTACTTGCAATTTTATCTGTTCAAATCGTGATTTCACTAATGCTCGTCATTTTCCACAGTCAGGGCGCACGTTTTTTTTTTTCAAAAATACCGAACTCGATAACGTTGTCAGCGATATCATTGGGAAGCATACTTTAGATATGTACGAAAAACCAATAGGTTCAACTTGATTAAAAAATCATATCAACTATTTTTTGAACGATAAAAATAATATCAATTGAATTTCCAAAAAGGGTTTCGAGGCAAACTATATATACACGTATCAAAAAATATCAGAAGAAGCAGTGTGCGCTTCTTCCGAAATTCTGCCTCTGAATATCTTTTGTTAGCAAAGAAAAGACAGACATTTGTAAATAAAAGTCATCAACTCTTAGGCTCAACCTAAGCTTCAAGATACATTGGTTTTGAACCAATGATAACACCATTTGATGCCACAGTAAAGGGTAGATGAAGTGGTCAACAATCATCAACTATCACCAGCAAGCACAACTCTCCAGAATTCCACGTTTCATTTGTGTGTCTACGTTTTAGTGCGCAAAGTGATGACGTAACGAAAGAATTACACCAGATTTACTAGAAAAGTGATATTGACAAAGACTGCTTGAAACGCCACTAGAACAATTGCAAGAGACTTGCGTTCCATGAAAAAAAGAGAGCAAATGATGTTCCTTAGAGGAATCGAAAGTATAACGCCCCCCATGAAACAATGCCCTCAACCGAGGTTTTAGTCGATATTACTATTATTAAGTCTCAGGTCTGGCATGTGTAAAGACCTATGCGCCTGGGAGTAACTTTGGCAAAATACACACACATATCACAATTTTAAAATTCTGTAAATTGCTATCTCATCTATGCATACATTTACATACATGCACACATATAATATCCAAATATATTAGTAAACTCAAGTTTAATCCACATAAATGATAAAGTTTGAAAATTGGGTTCATTGAATAAGTTTACAAACATCAAGCCAATCCTGGAAGATAAAACAAATATGTATCTTGCACATACCACGAATTCTGAACTTTATCAGAGTATGGTCACGTCAGTATTATACACTGTTTTTTAATAATTTAATTTGGTAATCTGCCTTTTGGCATAGAAAAGCAGCGCAAGTCCAATAGCTGTTTTCTAATTTAGCTCAATGTTTATTAAATGAATATTTTGAAAAATATATATGTATTTTAAAAAAACGCGTTCTTTTTATATACTTTCAACACAAATCTTATTTTCAGGTAGAAAGTAAAAATAAATGTCCCAAAAATCATTTCAATGCACGTCATGTAGTAGGATATAGTAGTAGTAGTAGGATACATTATATTACTATTGTAACGACTGGGCATTGCATCAATATTTTTTTAAATTAATCTAAATAGGGTCATTAACTTCGTTTTGACTGCATAATCATATATCAATTTTATTAAACAAAAACAAAACAAAAATCGAAAAATTGTGTAAATCAACTGTGACTTTAGATTAAAAGTGAAGATAACTCTTGCCAAAATGTATGAATTTTTAATTCACATTTTTTATAATTAATGAATTTATATTGATGTAATGTCCCGTTGTTAGTCCATATATATAAACACATATATATATATATATATATATATATATATATTATATATGTATGTTGTGTGTACTTGTGTGAAAAAAAATTATGCGATAAGTATTGAATCTTCTGATCAAAATAAATACAAAAACTTTAGCTGAAACGCATGAATTCTTAATAAACATTTCTTTATAATGCTAAATTAAATTTTATTGATGTAATGCCCAATAACACACACAAATATATACATATATATATATATATATATATATATATATATATATATGGCAGTGTGTTTTGTTTATTCTTATGTCTGCTTACTAAACTACACACATGCCCTATATACATAATATTACAGTCTTTGCCTACGTTTATTTATATGATAGCAAAAATATTGAGAAAAACTTCGTTACTGTAGATATGTTGCCTGTAAGTCCTGCATAGATTTTAGCTTTATACTCTTATTAATAAATTCGAATTCACGTTCCTATATATATATATATATATATATATATATATATATATATATATATATATATATATATGTATATACATATTTGATTTTTTATCTCAAAACATGAATGTGCAGGCAGTGCTCATGACAAATTTTCAAGCAATAGTTGCAATATTATAAGAAAATTAATGTTAAAACGCAAGATCTCAAATCTATTTGTTTCTTTAGTTTTAATCTTTAAAAATTGAAAAATGGAAAAATATTAGCAATATTAGTTATCGCAAGATATATATGAAAAAGCAAAATATGTAAACTAAAAATAGATAGTTTTAAAATAATATTTTACTGACCATGGAACACTGCTCAAAATGCTGCTGCAGCGCCATTTGTGTAAGAAGAAATCCATCTTCACCCCCATGATAAGAAGTACCGCGAACATACGGAGCGCTATGCACAGCCTCACGCGGGCTGCAAGGAGCGCTATGGTCTGTAGAAATTCCACCGCCACCACTATCACCACCGGTAGCGCCAGGACTCGAACCAGGACTAGGACGCAAACCAGGACTACGATAACCTCCGACACCTACAGCACTCATCTGAGAATAATAAACTCGCATTTAAATCCTTAATTAATGCGTTCACTAATAAATGAGAATAAGCTGAAATAATAATTGCAGTATATTTTTTCTGAAATATCCAAGTTTCCTGATTTACAAAAATGGCAATATGACTCGGATCAATTTTTGCACCACACTAAGAATTTTAAAACATTGTTCCGTAATATAATTAATTAAATAAATAATATAATTAATTGAATTAAAAAAAATTAAACAATAATTGAATAAATTATACAAAAAATTGTAAAATATTGACATAAGACTTATTATATCATTATACAGGCGGCTTATAAGGTAACTAAATAAATAAATACAAAACTGAACATGATTTTAAGCAATACAAATTCATCATAAAACTAGCTGTAAGTGGAATTCTGTCTTAAGGCAATTAAGGCATCGTGCCTTAAGGCATATTGCTGGAACTTCCCGTACCAAAAATTATTATTTTTTTAAAAACGATTAACATTTTTGAAAAAAATTTACTTCGAAAAAATAAGATTTTTGAGAAACTATAAATTGGACAAAAAATTACTTTTTTTTGAAAAAAAATTTTTTTTTAAATTTTTTTTTTGTAATAAAATTTTTAACTTCCCGTAGGGTAAGTTATAGTAATCGCAAAAAAATCAAAAATGAAAATTTTTATATATCTTTACGTTTCAGAGGTTTCTGAATATTTTGGCATACCTTAGAAAAAATGGATGTATGTGTGTGTGTGTGTGTGTGTGTGTGTGTGTGTGTATGTATGTATGTATGTATGTATGTATGTATGTATGTATGTATGTATGTATGTACGTGTGTGTATGTATGTGCGGATACAAATTTTCGTCGACGATTTCGGGAACACGGATCAACCGATTTGAATAATTCAAAAAACATTCAATTCGTATTGATAAGGAGACGTGCTGATTAGTTTTTGGCGAAGGCAGGTCTAGCCGTTCCGAAGATACGGGGCAAAAAGTGCCGAAAACGGTAACTCAGTTTTTAAGAGAACGGAGCGTTCAATTTGAATAATTCAAAAAACATTTTACTTGTATTGACAAGATGAAGAATCGATAAAATTTTCATGATGGTAGGTCTAGCGGTTTCGGAGATATAGAGGAAAAAGTAAAAAAAATGAGCCATTTGGCGGTCAAAAATGATCATTAGACATATGCACATCAATTTTCAGATATTTTATAGAGATTTTAACAATCAGTATACATTTTGTTAACATTCCTATGGGTACCGTACCAATGCTTATGCGTTAGACAGCGACGCGGCGCTTACGCGCTTTATATTTTGTCCCTATGCAGTTAAAGCAGTACGATTGCTTTGAAAAAAAAGTTCAGATCTTCCACAATATGTCAAAATAAAGAAAAAAAATTTTTTTTTCAAAAAAAAAAATTAAAAAAAAAATTTAAAAAAAAAAAATTTTTTTTTCAAAAAAAAAGTAATTTTTTGTCCAATTTATAGTTTCTCAAAAATCTTATTTTTTCAAAGTAAATTTTATTCAAAAATGTTAATCGTTTTTAAAAAAATAATAATTTTTGGTACCCGAAGTTCCAGCAATTTGCCTTAAGGCACGATGCCTTAATTGCCTTAAGACAGAATTCCACTTACAGCTAGTTTTTCTTTATTTTGACATATTGTGGAATATCTGAATTTTTCTTTCAAAGCAATCGTACTGCTTTAACTGCATAGGGACAAAATATAAAGCGCGTAAGCGCCGCGTCGCTGTCTAACGCATAAGCATTGGTACGGAACCCATAGGAATGTTAACAAAATGTATACTTATTGTTAAAATCTCTATAAAATATCTGATAATTTGATGTGCATTTGTCTAATGATCATTTTTGACCGCCAAATGGCTCATTTTTTTACTTTTTCCTCCATATCTCCGAAACCGCTAAACCTGCCTTCATGAAAATTTTATCGATTTTTCATCTTGTCAATACAAGTGAAATGTTTTCTGAATTATTCAAATCGGACGCTCCGTTCTCTTAAAAACTGAGTAACCGTTTTCGGCACTGTTTGCCCCATATCTTCGGAACGGCTTGACCTCCCTTCGCCAAAAACTAATCAGCACGTCTCCTTATCAATACGAATCGAATGTTTTTTGAATTATTCAAATCGGTTGATCCGTGTTCCCAAAATCGTCGACGAAAATTTGTATCCGCACATACATACACACACGTACATACATACACACACACACACACACATACATCCATTTTTTCTAAGGTATGCCAAAATGTTCAGAAACCTCTGAAACGTAAAGATATATAAAAATTTCATTTTCGATTTTTTTGCGATTACTATAACTTGCCCTACGGGAAGTTAAAAATCTGTATGTTCTAACTAAATTCCTTGCTCAACGATAGTTAAAAACTTACAATTTTTTAGCCAAAACTAAAATTGAAATTTGAATTATTTGTAAAAAAAAAATTGAAATATTTTTTTTCCAAAAGTAATTCTTTCGTCAACACAAGAAGAAAGTTTTTTGAATCATTGAAATCGGATACTTATTACTCTCAAAAACCGCCGTTTTTTGTAAATTTAGCTCTGTATCTCCGTAACGGCTGGATCTGCCTTTGTCAAAAACTAATCAGCACATCTCCCTATCAATAGGAATCGATTGTTTTTTGAACCATTCAAATCGGTTGATCTCTGCTCCCAAAAACGTGAACGAAAAAAGCGGACACACAAAAGATACACACACACATCCATTTTTTTTTAGGTATGCCAAAATGTTCGTTCAGAAACCTTCAAAACGTAGAGAAATACAAAAATTTTCATTTTCGATTTTCGGCCCATTGCTATAACTACCCACGGGAAGTTAAAAATAAGTAAAATTATTAGTTACGTTTAGAATTGTTTCTATGTAGACAATGGCGTTCTATGTATGTTAAATCACAATCAAACTCTTAATAAACTAGATTTCTCAAACGATTAGTGTTATTTTTTATTTATTCACTAGTATATACTAATTATTAAAATCTATCTTTATTTCCTTTATGTGAAACGGAATGCAGTAAAATATAAATTATTAACTAGTCGAGAAAAGATAGCTAGCAGAAGAGATATATTAATTTTAGTTCATTTTTTTTTTATTTCGGTGAAAAACCTGATGTTGCAAAAAGATTTTCAGAACAAAGAAATTTTGAAGCCGCCAATTTATATTGTCGTAAAGCAGCAATTCCCAACGTGGGGCGCACGCCCCACCGGCGGGTTATTTGGAAATAAATGTGATTTGAATGTAATGAAGTATAGTATCAATAAAACATTTAACAAAAAATGCTTATTAGATCTAGCTAAGGTGTCCCGGTTTGGTCAGGACAGTCATAGTTTTTAACGTTGCTTAACTGGTGCCGGAGTTATGTTGTTTCGTCCGGGTTGACTTGACTTTTCAAAAAGTTTAGCTTGAATTTGAATTCTCCTCGTTACTTTATAATAAAATTACAACTACCCATCATAATCTGAAAAGGATATATGCGATAAACTGCTTATATAAAACTAAACATTATGAAAGATAATGTTGAGGAATGCAAAAATTCTTAGGGTTCAAATAGCCCTTCACTAATTATTGTAAACTTTCGTTTTCAAATTTACTAAAACTACCCAGAAGTTAGGTTAACAAAGTTTCTGACTGGCATAAATGCCTTAAAGGGGTATTCTGATGTAAAAATTAAAAAAAATCGATTTTATTTTTATTTCATATTTTCAAAGTTTAACTATCTAAGAATATGGATACGAGAAGGTTTTCGAAAATTTGAATTATTTTCGGAGATATAAGCATTTTACTGACTCGGTCTCCATACTGATTTGGCTTCACGCAAAACTTTAAAAGCGTTTTTCTCAGAACAGACTTTTTCAGTACTGTTGACACGATTTCTCGAGTTTTAGTCGACCGATTCACTTGAAATGTTCAGAGAGTCTTGTTTATAGACCCATATATATATATATATATATATATATATATATATATATATATAACAAATGTATTCTGAGTGGATGATATATATATATATATATATATATATATATATATATATATATGTATGTATACGGGTATACAGAAATAATCTTCACTAACATCTCAGTAAAGTCAGTATATCAGCACATAGCTGAAGCTGATCAATGTATGTTTATACAAATACAAATACGCAAAATTCTGTACGACTTCCTCATTACGCGAAAAGTAAAATTTTCGATAGATATATACTATATTGATAATATTAGTTACATGGGAAGTTTGCTATAATGTATCTAATAATAAGATTATTAATATACAAATACGTCTTCTGTATAAATTACTATATATTTTCTATATTTTCGTCCTTAAATTTTGCTTGATTTTGATAATGACATATCAATATGCCAAGCGCAGTATATATACAATAAAATTTTAAAAAATTCTTGAATGTTTGCCTCATATGGAGATCTTGAAGCTTGTATATGACCGTAATGTAAAAAATCAACATTCAACAAAATAATTTTTATGCCGAATTTTTATACATCTAGTAATTTTATAATTATATACCTTTGGTGATTGTTGCGACATATTTAAGTTCCCATGAGATCCATATAAAACGTGAGATGTATTTCTAGGACTCGTTTGCCCGCAAAAAAGATTATGCCGTCTCCCTGAGTTTATATCATTAGGACTTGAACAACTTTGAAATGAATTCTCGTGCGAAGCCTGTAAATAATTTATAATATTTCTACAAAAAATAATATTTCTATGCTAAACTTAGTTTGTATGTATCGCTATGCGTTATGTTTGGAAATACAAAAGCTATCAAGTAATCATATCTCTATACAATAAATATTTATTGAATTAGAATATTAATATTTGGACAATTTCTCTATCCGTTAGAAAAATAATTTGATGATGATAAAAACTATATATAAACAGAATGTGCTATGAATTGGTTGGAGTAATTACTTAATCAATTAAGAGATAATTTATTAATGATATTACATATTATAGTCGTAATAAGCGGTTCCAGCGATACGAATCCACTTGCCACACTTAACAAGTATTTCTTCGTTATAAACGATAAAGTCACAAACGCAAGTAATATCTACCCTACAATGCAAAAAATGTTAAAAAATAATGTGAAAGAAAAATTACGCGTTCGTTCACAAGGAAGCAGTAACCATGGCAGCTATAATTATTTAGGCGGCATTATTTTTAACTAGGAGAAAAGCCAGAAAATCCGACTTGCTTAGTTTATATTGATTCGTTTGAGACCCAAAAGTATGTGGATGTATGTATGTGAGCTGATATTTGAAAAATGGTTGAATTATAAATATTGATTGAAGTTTGGAATGATAGGCTTTTGGTGCGTCCATTAATCACGAGATCGAATTCTGAAAGATTTTTAGACCACCCCTCCCCCTGGTGATATTCAAATTCCCGCCTCCCCCACCAAACATGACGTGTTTGTTTAATTACGTGAAAAAATTGTAACATTCTTTATTTTTTCGAAATATTCGGATTTTATTAAAAATTTCAGGTGAAAAATAAATACACGTGATATCTTACTATACCCTTCCTCCCGCACGTGATATTTCGTAATTTTTTGTCAAGAACCCCTCCCCCTAAAAACCTCACGTACCCCTTTAGGACCTACAAGTGAGTGTTTGTGCACTACTATAATTACAAATATTATAACTCTGTTTGATATTATAGGATATCAATAAGAAACCGCATTCACTAGTTCCTTGTGCAGAGAAAAACTTTACTTTCGAAATAACACTGTTGAAAATTTTATCTAAATAGCTAAATCTCACTTCTCATTAATTAAGCTGATAATTTACATGGGAAGTTTATGCAAATTTTCTTTAAAAGCCCCTCACACCTAGTTATAATTTAAATTCCAGCTATTTTACTATCTAATATATAACTAATATGCTAACAAGTCTAATTGTATTCTTCTATAGCTTTTTGAATGTAAATTCATGGCTCATTCTGTTATATATATAAAACGAAAAACTTAACATATATAAAAAATTACAAACAAATGTAATAAATAAAAAAAAACTTGAAAACAAATAAAAATAAATAACAAACCTTGGTGCGTTGCGAGTATCTATGGTTAACAGGGACTGACAAATGATTCTGAAAAATATTTACACTACATACAAATTGATAATATTAATAAATAAAAATAATAATAAAATAAGAACTTAATACAAATAAAAATGGAATAAAACAATGTGGATGATAACATAAATTATTTGTCACCTATACAAACATGAAACTATTGAATATTGCCCAATTATGGAAAATAAAACTAACTTAACGTATTATTCCTAAGGCAACAAAATGGTTGACCTATCAATATATTTCTCTTGGATTTTCTCGAAAACAAATGATTTATTCTTTAACCCTATTCGGTCGAATTTAATTTGGAGATAGGTATCGTTGCCCTACTCGGAATTATTTTCCGCCGAATGAGCACAACACGCAAGTTTAGGATGTGTAAACAAGATTAATTCGTTCTAAATATTGACGAAAGTCATGTTGTTGCTTTACAGGCAAGAGTTTTTATCAAGTTGTCAGATAGAAAACCTAGAACCCGCATAAATGTCAAAAAAAACTATATTAGATAACAGGGTCTTTCTGACCCAGTTTCATAGCATAGTGACTTTGCAATTTATGTGTAAAAAGTCTGAATGATATGACATGTTGACAGTATTCAGTATGATTCGGTAGCATAGTGTATGGAAGTTGAAGCGTAACATGGCCTTTGTCATAACATTGGTCTGTTGTGCGGCAGAATCGGCCCATTCAATTTTTTTTTGTGAACTTTAAATACATTTTTATTTAATACACTCATCTAGTATTGGTTTTGAATAAAAGTTGTGTTTTATAATCACTGTATGCTGTAATTATAAAACACGATTCGAATTCAAGTAAGTAACTTGCCATGGTGGCTAAGAGTGGACAAAGAACCGAAATGGGTTGATTTCATGCAGCAACGCCGGAAAAGAAGTATTTTTGCTTGGAAACATATTTAAATGTATATTATTTCAAGTGGAAACGGGCATCACTACTTGTCCAGAATGGCCCCGATGGGTACCAAATTTGAGACCCTGTAATTTGTAAAACCTAAGCTCTTAGTACTACTGACTGAGACAATGCAAACCCAATCCCGAACGTATGCCAACAGAAATGTGATTGAAAAAATAAAAAATATAAACATGCACCGACATGTTTCATCCATTTAAAACAAACCCAAGGATCTGGGCGCAATGCAAAATAGGTTTCATCCACGTATTTAAACGATTCAAGCAATTTTAAAGGTCTATTTAAAAAATTATACCAAATAAAAAGTTTCACCCTATGTGGCTGAGTATCCTTGAGAACATGAGAGTGTACCACTTTCTTTAAACTTTCTTTACAAATTACAAACAGTAATTAAAATGAACATAAATTAAAAAATAAACATAGTTCTATTCTTACTTGTTACTGCCTACAAATTAAATCAAATGAAACATTGTTAAGTAGAAAAGATAAGAGCTAGTATACCCGTGCTTAAAGGACGTAAGCAAAGAGATGTATTCCCTTGCTGCCGCTATTGAATTCGGTTTAAATTAAACCTTAACGAACGAGTGCCGCCATACTCGCGACATTGTAAGTTATATAATAAATTTAATTATTGGTCTACAAGCAATATTAGACGAATAGACTTTTTCAAATCCAATAAAGCGATGTTGATTGTGCAACTTCTCTAGCTTTGTAAAAGAAGCCCTAAATTTCTTAAAAATTCGTCGACCTACTGGGCATAGTTTTTAATTATGCGCTCGTTGAAGGTTAAGAAATACTTTTAGGTAAATAATTTCAATTGCAACATATAATACCTAGGACATAGACAACTTCATGCGATTACCAAACTTCCTAGTATGTGTACTAAAAATATTGCATATACACCTAAGTCTGTTTTTACACGGTCTTTTTGTACACGGTTTTGATATAACACGGTTTGAAAATTGAATATTTTTAAATTTTTTACACGAATTTATTCCATTTAGCACGACTTGAAATTTTATGTACCTAAATTTTTTTTGTCAAATTAAATTTTTGCGAAGTATGTTCATTCACAAAAAAGTATTTATGAAAGAAAAAAGTCTGAAACCATCGATAGTATCGATAGTTTGCAAACACTAGCTTAAAGATTTAAGTGAATTCCCCTTTAGCGCGTACAAACAATTTTTACTGGTCAAAGCAAATGTGAATAGCACTAATTTAATTCTTGTTCTTAAAAATTCTTGTTTTTCACCAATTTTAATAGGTTTTAGAGATTAGGAACGAATCACCCATTTTTGTATAAGGTCAATGTCTTTTTTTACACGTTTTTTTTTTACACGGATTCTTCTGGAACCAATCTCCGTGTAAAAACAGACTTAGGTGTATATATATATATATATATATATATATATATATATATAATCAACAATCGTCTAAGATAAATCAGTCCGAAATAACGCTCAACTACAAAGATTAAAATTTATTTTGATGAATTGTGAACGTTATTTCTAATTATTCAAAAAAATCTTTATTGAATCGACTTTCAATATACTGTTTGCGTTGCCATACTTTTTATTGATAAAATAATGCACATTTGCATAATTAAATTCTACATCTACATTAAATTTTCTAAAAAATAAAGCGGGTATTCTAAAATGAACAATACTATATTTTAAACTGAAAGTATCACATTGATTAATATTAATTTTAGGAAATATTGCATGTTGCTGTAATATTAAATGTGACAAATTTCAATAACTGATTTTTTTTTTATTGCTCTTATGTTTTACAAAAATTGTGCTCGTTAATCAAAAATTTATTAAGTGTTAAAAATAAATTCAATTATAATTACAAATAAATTAGTTGTGTGACTAGTTGTCAGTAACCATTTAACTGATTTGTGTCCTAAGTTTAAAATGTGACATAAACCCATCACTAACAAAATTGCAAAGTTAGATCATTGTAATTCATATCATCCCCTTCAATAAAACTATACTTTCAAACAATTTCTAATTACATTCATTCTGTTTCTGTTGAACACTAAGGCAGTATATGATTATATAATTATTTACACACAAATATATATATATATATATATATATATTTTTTTTTTTGAATTTACCGAATTATATGGAGAGCCACTATGCTGCACTTCTTCTTGGTCATGTGATGTATGCAATGGCGAAGGAAAATGAACACTTGTGAGATCAGGTAAAGAACCTGTATTATTTCCAATGGGAATTTGAAGTGTGCCAGAATCATGTGTTGGATATATACTGAAAATAATTCCAATGAAATATCATTAAATGTTTAAGACATATTACAACATGTTACAAATATGTACATATACATATTTTGTATATATATATATATATATATATATATATATATATATTGAAATATGTGAGTTTGGTGTTGATATATATTTTGATGAGTTATTTAGAATCGGGCAGTAACACCAAGTAAAAAAAACTAATGTAGTTTTGAAATACTTTATTTATCCATACGTTTCAGTCTTCATCGAGACCGTCATTCAGTAGAAAACTAAAAGATTTTATATGATGTAGGAGGAAAATAATATAAAGTTATAGAACTTATATATATAAGTACTTACAGAAATTAATTATACAAAAAACACTACACTATTACACTGTGATAAACCAGGCTATTAGATCAGTCTAATAAATCTTGCATTAATAAAAGGTGTAATGCCTCCTTACTCTGTGAAAATTATCAGGTGATACTCAATAATATTTCCAAATTTGTTTCTTCTTAACTAACGTAATTCCGAACCTGTAAACCTACCCTTACGCGGTCCGATCCCGAATTTTGAATCTTAACCTCTTCACCCATACTTCGAAACACTGATTGTAAAAAGACCCGCCAACTATCCTTCAAACGGTCTCTTCAAATAATTTTTAAACACATGTTTCATTATTGCCTCGGAAACGTACGCATAAACTACGTTATATTTCACAAATATTTTATATTATATTATACTCTGTTCAACAAAAACAAAAAAAACAAGTTAGTATATATATGATAGTGCAAAATTATGTGCCATGTGCTAGTTACTGATGTAAGACCTTATTTATGTAAGTTACCTTTGTTGTTTATATATGTGTATGTGTTTGTTTATGTATATTAGGGTGGTCCTTAAAATAGTCATTTTTGAATTTCCTCGCTCCCAGGGGCTCAAATGGTTCCAAATAGATAAAAAACAATTCTCTGAAAGTTTTAGCTCTTAATATTAACGTTTAGATAGAGCGCAATTCAATCAAACTTTGTATGGAAAGAGCTTGGAAAAAATTTTGAAAATTTAAAAAAAATGTTTTAAGTATAACTTAGCGACAAATGAATGAGTTTTAATCATTCATTTGTTCGCTAAATTACATCTAAAAAACATTTTTAAAATTTTTGAAAATTTTTCCATGCTGTTTCCATACAAAACTCTGATTGAATTGCGCTCTATCTAAACGTTAATATTAAGAGCTAAAACTTTCAGAGAATTGTTTTCTAGCTATTTGGAACCATTTGAGCCCCTGGGAGCAAGGAAATTCGAAAATGACCATTTTAAGGACCACCCTAATGTATATATATATATATATATATATATATATATATATATATATATATATACGAGGTGTGTTCAAAAAGTACCCGGAATTACTAATAATTAAATTTCGCGAGTCTGGAGTGTCTGATTGTCAAAATTTTTTTTTTATTGTGTTGGTATACATGCCCCTAAAGTATGATGAAATTTTCAGCTATATTCACTGTTTACTTTGTCTGTGGTAGTCGCTAAGGTTCGACGTGTTTTTCTGAGCTCGGCGATTTTTACAATGGAAGAATTGAAAAGTCAAAGAATTTGTATTAAATTTTGCGTAAAAAATGAAATAAAGTGTTGCAAAGTGCAAAAATTCACCAGATATGGCTCCGTGTGACTTTTTCCTATTCCCAAAGTTGAAGAGACCCATGAAAGGACGGCGGTTTTCCTCGATTGAAGAAAATCGCTGAGAGTGCTCAAGGACATATCAAAAAGTGAATATCAAGGGTGCTTCGAAAATTGGAAAAAACGCTGGCATAAGTGTATTATATCTGGGGGGGACTACTTTGAAGGGGACCACATTAATGTAGACGAATAAATAAATATTTTTTTGAAAAAACGAAAATTCCGGGTACTTTTTGAACAGACCTCGTATATATATATGTTGAAAATGTTTAAATTTGATGTTGAAATATATGATAGATTTCTTGGAGGGCGTAACATCAAGTAAAAAAAGTAAAGTAAAGATTTTTTCAAAACATCTTTATTTATCCATACGTTTCGACGTAAAATTCTACGTCATCTTCAGTGGTTCTACAATTTAAAAACAGAAAGTAACGTTACAATTTGAATATACATAAGCAATAGTAACAAGAAAAGTTTTAACTAAAGAGAATTGCAAAAAACATTACTTACTTGAATTATTTATATTATCACTAACACATATTAATATAACTTGTAAAAATTAATAATTATAGACAAGCACTAACTGTCAGTAATTTCTTTTTTTAATAAAAAGAATAAAAGATAAAAAGTGATTAATAAATAAAATATTATACGTAAAATATTATACGCATCCGAGGCCAGTGCCAAACAGAATAATATGTTTGTAAGTATCCTAGATGTGAAGTCAAAATTTTAGAAAAAACAAACACATGTGCTGGTTTTTGACCGAACGTCTTGGCGCGCTAAGCAAGTGTGCGTGATAGTGTTGTGCAACCGTGGTGTTAGGTATTCGATATGAATTGGGAAACATTATTTAGAACAAATTGGTAATTTTCGCAAATGAAGCTAGTGTCTGTGCGTTTATTTAAACAATTATTTCTGTTCAAGAAAATATAGGCCGATTCTGAAAAGCGCCTTTGTGAGACTTTCGATTCATGATGAAGAACCTTTGCGTCATAAAAATTGAAAGTATGGTTATTTAGTTTTAAATGTTCTGTGATCATTGTTTGCCCTTGCTTTTTGTTTTTTGAATTATTATCGTGTTGTTTCAAACGTTTGATAAGGTTCTGTCCTGTTTCGCCAATATAGGTGGAATCACAGTCATTGCATGAATTTTATAGACCACATTGGATACTCGTTCTAAACTAGTGCGCGGCTTTAAATTTGAGAAGAGGGAGTTGAGAGTTAGATCGATGTTGCATACTAAACGGAGATTTGCGTTGTAAAAAAGTTTTTTCCACATCGGATAAAGTTCTTTGATGTAAGGAAGGCAAATGGTACCTTCAAAATTATTATCTTTTGTGGAAATTAAACTTAGGTTGGGGTTAGTTATTTTGTTTTTTAAAAAAGTGGGTCTATTGTTTGTGACGGATTTTATAAGATGTGGGGGATATGAATTTTGTGTAAGGGTTTTGAAAATTAAATCTAAATTTGAGGTCCAAAATTGTTCGTTAGAAAGGAGGATAGCATGGTCTACAAGATTAATGATAGTACCTATTTTCATGTTAGAGGAGTGGTAAGAGTGAAAATTTAAGTATCTACCTGACCAAGTAGGTTTTTGGTACCAGTTAGTGATAATGCGGTTGTCTGTGCTTTTAATGATTTTGACATCCAAGAAACTGATAGAGTTATTTTGTTCTTTTTCAAAAGTGAACTGAATGTGTTTGTTAAACGAATTGAAAGAATGAAGCAATAAGTCAAAATTTTGAGGAGGTATACAAGTGATAATGTCATCAACATATCTGTAATAAAAATAAATGTCTATGTTGATGGAATTAAAGACTCTAGTTTCTAAATGTTGTAAAGATAATTCGGCTAGGGCAGGGGATATAGAAGAGCCCATGGGAGTGCCAAAAATTTGAAGATAAAAATGGTCATTGAATTCAAAATATGTGTTCGTGATTATGAATTTGATCGATGTTAAAAACCAATGTAATGAAAATGTAGTATGGTAAGAGATTTCATCCCATCTAGCTGTTATAGCATCTAACATTAATTGTAAGGGGACGTTGGTGAAAAGGGAAACAACATCTAGACTCACTAATAGGGTTTCGTGGGGTAAAACTATAATATTTAATTTATTTACAAATTCAAAGGAATTTTTTATGAAATGAGGGGATTGGACAGTTATGATGGAGAGTATATTACTTAGAAATTTTGAGAATTTGGACAGAGGGGAATTTATGTCAGCGACTATGGGTCTGAAAGGAACGTCTTGTTTGTGAATTTTAGGGAGGCCATAAAGTTTGGGATTATAGGGATGTAAATTTTTTAAAGTGGATGAGAGATCTTTTGAAATTTGTTTATGGGACACTAGGTTATTGATTAATTTGTGAAGAGAACGGTTAATGCGTTCTGTCGGATCAGAAATAATTGGAGAGTAAGTATTGGTATCGGATACTAATCTTGAAACTTTTTCCAAATATGTGTGTCTATCTACAATAACTGTGACGTTACCTTTATCGGCTCTAGTTACTAACAAATCAGGATTATTTTTTAAAAAGGTTTTGCAATCTCTAATATCTCTCAGGATGTCTTTGTACTCTATATTTTTCTTTGAGTTAAAGGATTTAATAGCGGAAATAAAGTTTTTGCAAAAGGTAGCCTTTGTATTCATTCTTAGGTCTGTGTTTTTAATATTATAAAGACCTGCTTCTAAGCGACTTAGAATTTTAATGAAGTTGATGTTGTAACATGAATTGGGGAAAGCAAAATTTGGCCCCAAGGCAAAGATGTATAAAAACCTGTCTGGGATAGTTACATTGGAAAGGTTTTTTAACCATTTGTTAATGACTGATTCACTTAAAATGATTTTGGAGGAGTTTATTTTGGATTGCAAAAGCTTTTCAAATTTGTTTTTATAAGATATTTTTTGATTAACGCAAAAGTTCCTATAGCGAATCGATTCGAACTCAAAAAAAACTTTCCAGGATTTCCGATTCTACTGTATTGAGTAACCAGTTATTTATCTTATTAATAGATAGTTTTAAATTTTGTATGTTGCAGATACAATTTTTGATTTCTAGGGAAATGATATGTAAGCTTAAGGAACTAAATTTGTTATTGAGGCTATTGTTAAGGTGTGAGAATTTTTCTAATTTAAGCCGGTAGAAATTTGGACAGTTAGTGCTTGTCTATAATTATTAATTTTTACAAGTTATATTAATATGTGTTAGTGATAATATAAATAATTCAAGTAAGTAATGTTTTTTGCAATTCTCTTTAGTTAAAACTTTTCTTGTTACTATTGCTTATGTATATTCAAATTGTAACGTTACTTTCTGTTTTTAAATTGTAGAACCACTGAAGATGACGTAGAATTTTACGTCGAAACGTATGGATAAATAAAGATGTTTTGAAAAAATCTTTACTTTACTTTTTTTACTTGATGTTACGCCCTCCAAGAAATCTATCATATATATATATATATATAAATATATATATATATATATATATATATACGTATTGTGTGTATATATGTGTGTGTATATATATATATATATATATATATATGTGTGTGTATGTGTGTATATATATATATATATATATATATATGTGTGTGTGTGTGTGTATGTATATATATATATATATATATATGTTTATATATGTGTATATATATATATGTAAACGTGTTTGTACATGTATATTGTATATATATGTACTATTTTATATGCATATTTATGCATATGTATTATGCTTTTTTATGTTTGTATATTTTTTTATTATTTTTCATTCCTTATGTTGTCTATCTGTTTAGTTATAATTGTCATTGTTGTTATAATTATAATACTTGTATCGATAGTTTTTTTTCCAATTTCTGTCATTTTTTTCCTAGTTTATATTAATTTCTCAATGTTCATTCTGTAGATCCACTGATGATGACATAAAATCTTATGTCGAAACGTTTGGCAAAAATTAAAGCTTAACTTTTAAATCTTTGCCTTCTATTTGATGTATTGCCCTTGAAGAACTTACTCATATATATATATATTAGAATGGTCCTTAAAATGGTCATTTTCGAATTTCCTTGCTCCCAGGAGCTCAAATGGTTCCAAATTGATAAAAAAACAATTCTCTGAAAGTTTTAGCTCTTAATATTAACGTTTAGATAGAGCGCAATTCAATCAAAGTTTTGTATGGAAATAGCATGAAAAATTTGTCAAAAATTTTAAAAATGTTTTTTAGATGTAATTTAGCGAACGAATGAATGAATAAAACTCATTAATTTGTCGCTATGTTATACTTTAAACATTTTTTTTTAATTTTCAAAATTTTTTCCATGCTCTTTCCATGCTGGGAGCAAGGAAATTCGAAAATAAGCATTTTAAGGACCACCCTAATATATATATATATATATATATATATATATATATATATTTGTTTGGGCAATATACATGAATGCAAATTTAGCATAAAAATGTATTTGTTTGTGCAAATACATGAATGCAGGTTGAGCATGTAAATGTTCTTTCTAAAAATAATTTATTGATCTTGATTTATATACAGTCAAACCCTCAGCTTCAACACATTATAAAATCTCACCTAATTCCTGGAACTCGTGGAACTTCACAGGATGATCGAGGCCTGCCGTCCATAGGTGGTTGAACCGAGTGCTCAAAATAGGTATCTAAAAAGAAAAAAATAATGTCTATCTATGTAAAATGGCTAGCAAACATATAAAATGGATCAATTCAAGATTCACTAGGCATCATAATCAATAATATATATATAAATTGACAATGTTACTTAACCCCCGTCGAGTCAAATTTTTAAAAACATTAACAGCAATATTTTAGAATCATTAACATATTTTTTAGATCTAGTAAAATTAAAAAATTGACTAATATGATGCAATTTTTATTCTCTCTTTTCTAATTAGGTCTTTATTTAACTTTATTTTACTTGTTTTATGAAAATATTATTGAAATTGCACTAACTTTGAATAGTACACGTATTTGGCGATTGTCTCACTGTCTACTGGTATATTGCCAGACTTTTTTCATTGCCAGACATGCTTAACAGCTACAGAAACGTCTGGCAAATTAATTTTATCTTTTTTGACCCTTAATGAACATAATATTAAAATTTCAGACAGACTAAACTGATTTGAAATTTAAAAAAAAATTAATGAATAAATTGGCGTCTGGCACATATTTGGCAGCGCCCAAAATGTCTCGCAACAAAAATGTGAGTCTAGTGAACCTATTCGAAATCGAATTAATGAAAATTGGACTGACTAAAATGCTATTAACTAGTATCATATTGCCAGACATTTTTGATTGCCAGACATGTTTAACAAATGCAGAAATGTCTGGCAAATTTATTTTATGTGTCTTTACCCTTAACAAACATAATATTAAAAAAAATTCAGACAGACTAAAATAATTTGAAATTTAAAAAAAAAAAATAATAAATAAATTGGCGTCTGGCACATATTTAGCAGCGCCCAAAATGTCTGGCAACAAAAAATGTGAGTCTAATGAACCTATTCGAAATCAAATTAATGAAAAATGAACTGACGAAAATGGTTTCAAAATTTCAAAATCGCACTGTACAAATTGGCTGCGCACTAATAAACGCAACCACTCCCAGCTGCCAGACGACCCATACCCTAACCGAGAGAGCCCTAAGGACCACATACCAAAAAATCAGCCTGACTAAAATGCTTGTTTTGAAAACGTTGCTGCCTCCTATACTATAAGCTATTAGCCTTTCAGCGCAATTGAAAACAGCAATTTATAGGACAGATTCAGGAAAATGCTAAAGAAGTGTAATAATTTATAATTTCTCTGTAAAAATTGTAATAATTAATAACATAACAACTGACCACGACGGGGTTGTGTAGAATTCGTCAATAGAGAGTGATGCAAGCCCAAACTTTCCTGAGAACCTGCTTGAACAACACTTTGGTGCAGGGCGCTATCGGAGCTAGCTCTTCGCCAGGCACCATCTCCCGGCGGAGGGCTTAAATATGATCCACCATATGGTGACGTATCAACCTTTCGCTCTGCAGGTCGTGCTCGCATGGGTCCTATATTACCTGTTATAAAACAAACTATATTTTATTACTGATTAAAACAAACTCTACACAAATATAAATATTTTTAACATAGATCATATATTAAAATAATCATATGTATAAAAAACTCAAATATACACACATATTAGTTTACTACAAGTTATTTTGCATTGAAAACGTAACATTCAAAGTTATACTAAGAGCTGGCAATGGAATTTTTGATTAGATACGAAAATCAAAAACTATAATGACTAAATCTAATATACAGGAAAAGATTCTAATTACAGATTTTATCAGATGAAGCTAATGAGCAGAATGTATGCGGTGTTACCTCTAGATCGAGATTCTCTTTGCTGATGATATTGTTGTGCTTGGTGCAGTGGATGCTTTGTAGAAGTCGGAGAGCAAGGTGAAGTAAGACATTCATGAGTTTGTATCGATGCCAGACCAAACTGCGCCAGCGTTATATCGTCAGGCTGCGAGTATGCTGATTCCTCGGGCTGCAGAAAACAAATTATGCAATACTCAAATTATGGTTCTTTACCAGAAAGTCACTTTAAATAGATACATCTTACAAGTTTGTTCATTATATTTTACAAGAAATACTATTGAAATATTAATTAATATATTATCTTATACAAATGATTAGGTATTTCACAAATTTTAAAATAATATATTCTTATTTCTAAATGAAAAAGAAAACGTGCATGCACATGCAGTAATAATTTTAAAAACTGCCTATAACAAACAGATGAATCCAACAATGCGTTATACGATGAGGCATAAAAATCTGTAGAACATGCTTATTACAAGTAATAATAGCATTGACTTATATTTTCTTCATCCAAGAGTTATCCATATTTCATGTTACTACTGAATACATATAGTGTCAATTACAATAATAATGAATTTAATTTTACAGATAAAAATAAACTAGAAACTTGGTGGATTTTTGCTCATTGGCTAATTATAAATTCCCAAATTAATGTTTAATACATTTAATTGTAAGTAGAATTGAAACTTTTACACGTCATTAGGAGTGTATTGCAAAATGAAGTTATTCATTTATCACTTTCAATAGTGTTTGTCATGTCATGCATAATTTTATTTGAATATCAGGCATAAGCAACTTGTAATTTTATAAGCATGGATATTTAATGACCAATCGAATATTTTTTCATTTGAGTTGTTAATTCAGAAGTCTCGTATTTAGCCACGGAATTGAATAATAAACAACTTCAAATGCAGCTTAATAAACATTGCGGCCACATAAAAAAAATTACTGACCGTTATAAAATAAAAATCTCAACAAATAAATTATTTTATTTATCACGACAAACTAATATCTAATATAATTATCAAAGGCTCCTATATTATAAAAACAGAAATGATGATAAACATTAACTTGATTCAAATGTGTCATAAGATAATTTGAAGTATTACATTTATTGCTTAAACATTAAATTTTCACCCACAAATATATTGATTTCCTCCTAATTACACCAAAATAGTTATAACAAAATATGTAAGTACACATTACATTGAAATTGTCAAAACTAAAGACACAAATAATTTCATATTTACGAAGTCGAGCAAGACGGACAGTGATCAAACTTTGAAAAAAAAGAACTTGAGAAAAAAAAAACTTCTGCAGAAGCCCAGTACAGTGTTCTCGAGTGTAATTCTCAAATTTTCAAGTAATCTTACGGAATTCATAATTAGTCAATCAATGAACAAATAGAATAGTACTTTAGATTTTAAATTTTTATTTAAAAATTTTAATACTAAATTTCAGTTATTTTATCCTAATTATATTTCATGATTAGTCACTAAAATATAATTTTATGTCAGTATAAAACACAATGCATGGTAAACAAAATAAACCCATTTTAATTGCTAAACATATAACAAAAAATAAGCAATCACATTAGTACTTTCTAAATATTTCACATTGCTAAAAAACACTATTTTATATGTATGGTAGTCTTATTGTATGGCATAGTTATATTTATCAACTTTCAGTACATACTCAAAATATCACATATCCATATGTACAAAACATATATATATATAATAACATCTCACTTGGAAACAAATTTGGAATATTAAAAAGAACTACTCTACACTCCCGTATTTGCTGAACAGTTATTACTGCATACTTTTCAATATAGAACAATTATTTTAATATACAAAGTTGAATTGCAATGACTAACAAAAAATCTTTGATTGAAGTCGTGACTATATTATCAAAATTTTATACCAATAATTTAATGCATTTATGATTGAAATTACATTTTCACGAAAAAATTTTATTTTTTATACATAGTTACCACAAATATTAGTATTCATCCATTGAAATTAAATGTCGAAAGCACACATATCTTTAAATCAGTATCGTTGAATCATTTCCATCTTTGAATACATTTTTCACAGACACAGAAATTTGAATTGAATTGAACACTGCTGATGTACAATGGCAATACAACGGTGTAAATAGTTTTTTTTTTTTTTCTAAAAAATATTCAACACTATATTAACAAGATTTAATACAATGCATGTACATAAATATAGTGCAACAACATTGCCTATTCCTGCCTAATACAAAATAAACCATTATCTCACATGGTGCACTAACACAATAGTCAGAATACCAAATCTAATACACATAGTTCTTCTTCTACAATATATCATATCAAAAGTATGCCATATTTAATAAACAATCAGTATTTGTATGCATAATAACAATTAGGCAAAAAATGATGAAAGATGCATAAAAGGAAATTATGTTTCGAATTCAATGCAATTCTGAATTTTGAACCTTTAGTCTATGATTATTGTTCCAACAGTCTGTGCGCCTGATACATTAGGAAGAGACCCACCCCGAAAACAGCCTAATGTTTGAGTTATCCTCAGTGTATCCCCACATATAGATTGTTTTCGATTAGCAGTAGATTTACTTGTTATTGTGCAGCTGTGTTCACCTGAAATGCCTAATTAGCCAAAACCTTGCCAAAGCGACATTCACACTACGTTAGAATTTATGTATTTTAAATTATGATAAGTATTCAACGTTTTATTAGGCCTCAGAAAACTGTAAAAAGTCTAGTTTGCAATAATTACAATAACAGTAATAACATTTTTGCATTAAGTTATTATGTATTTCTTCTAAGTGCACAAGTAAGTCCACAA